ACAAAGCTAGCAACATAGATGCTGAACTGCTGCCCTGTGTCATTTTCCCCAGTGAATCTGACCTAGAAATTACCTGTCACTCTGCTTGCCCCAGTGGTGGGTGAGTCCAGCTGTGAGGACTGCTTCTAGTTAATCGCCCTCATGGCCCAGGGGGACACTTGTGCATGTTTCCTGCAGAGCCTCTCATTAGAAAGCACACTGGTTTGTTTCAGAGGACACGGTGCAGATCTGTCATTTTAGAAAATATCCCACTTTGCTTCTAGTTAAAACTATTCCATTAATGAACTATCAAGGAGTCTGGGGAGATCACCCCAAGAAATAAAGGCATTGCTGTGTGAACATGTGGATTAGAGTGTGGATCCCCAGAACCCAGGCAAATGCCACTGCTATGCCATCCCTATGGCAATACACCTCTCGCCAGGTCACCTAGAGCAAACAGAGGGACCCGCTGGTTCAGAGAACAGAGTTTCCCTGGGGATTAAACAGCTTTTCACGGTAGATGTGAACACCTGGTCACCCTACATGGGGCATCAACAACAGAAAGAAGAAATGATTCCACTCAAGTTCAGCTTGGTGAGCCCCTGGGTTTATTGGTGTTCTTACAGGAGTCTGGGTGACCAAAAGCAGCTTTCTGAGTGAAAAGCCCACCCCAGCACAGATGAGGCAGAGTCCCTGGTGCTCCTTGGACAACTTACAGTCAGCTCCACTCAAACACCCCCCCTCTCCAGCAGTCATTTCCTGCTTATGTAACCTTGGGCAGAGGCCTATGAATCTTGTAGCTTCTTTGCACCATGAGAGGATGCTTCAGTTTGAAGGCGGTAGTTATGCAACACTAGGGCATCACTCCAGCCTCCTGACCCTTGCTTAGGTCAAGCTGAGTAGTTTCATGGACAGATGTGTCCTCCCAGACAGGCAGAGTCAAATCTGTCTCAAGCTTGTGTTTCTGGGTTCCATCTCTGGCTTCTTGGCAAGTGGGTAACTTTCTCCTGTCTTCTTCTGTGCATCCCAGAGTACCTAGGGACACATATGCAAATCAAGTCTCAGCATCAGCCGGAGGACCTGAAGGGGAGTGTGCCTCAGGCTTTCCCAACCTCTGAATCATTGACATGTCCGCTGGGTAGTTTTGTGCAGTGGGAACTGTCCCATGTCTCAAAGATGGTCAGCTGTGCCCTGGTTCTGTCTTCTGGAAGCCCACAGTACTTTCTGTCCTGGCTGTGATAACAGAATAATGTCTCCAGGACTGGCCCCCTGGAGGCAAAAATCTTTCCAGAATGAGTAAGCCATTGAGTAAGGTGACCTGAGACAGCAGCTGTGTCGCCTTCCGGATATAAGATTAAACTGCTTTCGCCAGCATGGGGCTGACCCTGCCGCTGTTTCGTGTTATCTCACACTTGTCCAGTAGCCTAGGGTTACTTCCCGAGCATATACCCAACCCTACCACGCACTGTAGAAGAGCCATGGAACTCCAAGATGCAGTCCCTATCCCCAGAAGCACACAGTTACTCTGCTGAGACAGCCATGGGTACGGCTGAGTCCAGTGAAGGCCTCCCCAGAGCAAAGGAGCAGTGGACCACCAACGGAAGGAATCAGAAGCAACAGAGAAGAGGACCAAGCAGGCAAGGCTGAGTCAGGCAGAGGCCACGCAGGTGCTGCTGTGGACATCTTCAGGGGTTGACATAGTACAGCCAGGTCTGAGCTGGGGAGTGGAGGCCAGGAAGGCACTGCCAGTGGGATTGGTGAGGGCCAACGCTTGAAGGCTAGACAGATGGTGTGGGAAGAGTACAGGGCTGCAAGCAGAGACTTTCTGATGCATGCAGAGGGGCTGAGGATCTGCAAGGGCTCAGCAAAGTGAAATGAGTGAGACATTCATGAGGGCTCATGGCCTCCTGTCACAAATCCAGCAGCCTTCTACCAGCAATCAGTCCCGTGCTCAGAGCTGCAGGATCCTCTGAGACTTTCACCTGTCTCCTGGGAACTGTCGCGGGAAGCTGTGACTCAGGGCCTCCCCCTTCCCCCCTGCAACTCTGGTAAGAACTGCTTCTTGTCACCTATAGCCACCACAGTTCCCTCAGAGCACCGGGTTCCACGGACCCTTGCTTCATGGGATACCGAGTCCTGCTGGAGTAGCACTTCTTGCTCCATTGGGCATTCCACGCACTACAAATGTAACTCTTCTACAGAAAAACCCAACATGTCACATGACCTGTTGGATCCTCTGAACAGTCCCAGTAGTAGCGTGTGCTAGTTTCACCTGACATGGAGTCCAGAGATGTGACATAGTTTCAGGTCTCTCTCCTCCCCTTTCCTTACCTGTTTTCAGGGACTGCAACAGCAGGGATTCCCCCAGGGGAGCAATATAAAATGGCCACCTCTTCAGGACTGGTGTCTATGAGTGACTCACAGCTAACAGGAATGCAGGCAGCAGAAGCCCAGTTCTGCTTCTCAGGGACAGGCACTCCATCACCTCTGCCCTGATGTCTTGGGGATATGCTGATATGCATTCAGGAAGCCTGTGTTGACTAGTACTCCCTGCCTATAGGTCCTGTGTGGCAGGACAAGGGCTGCCCCCAGTAGTATACCTGAGCAAGAGGATTGATGGCAGGACAACTTCAAGCCAATCAAAGGGCAGACACATTAGAGAGGAGCACTGGGGCTCTGAAGACTGTAAAGTGGTGGGGACAGTCTCTTGAGTGGGTCATAAAGCAGCCACACTGTCCAATGGGCTAGGCGGTTCCAGGAGTTCTACTAATCTAAGCTGTTGGTCCCTGACACTGTCTGGTAAGTGTTGCTTACCTCAAGCCTACCCTTGGCTACACTCTGGGAGGAAGCAGGTCAGAGCTTTGGGAAGCCTAGTCTTCTCCAACCAGTCAGGGTGGACAGCATAGGTGGTACCAACATTGCCACCAACAAAGAAATGAAAACCCAACCCCAAGGTTAGGGCCATCACAGACAGCCCATAGCTTGTTTCCTGCATACCAGGACCACAGTGTCCATCCTGCACAGCTCTTATTGAAGCACACTACCTTGGTCTGAGTGGGCTTTTCTAACTTGCACTGGTGCCCATCCAGTCAGTCCCAGTGAGCACAAGAGCTGGGGCTTGCCTCAGATGCCAGGGTTGCCACCAGATTTCTCCGTGTCTTTAGACCCATTCCTGAGAGCGGATACAGACATCACAGAACTCTTAGATACTTCAGTTTACTCCGGATCCTGTGCAGTACTAGCTGCTCAAACAGGGTGAAGAGTCCTGGAGCTGAGGAATGTGTTCTGGAGAGCCTATACCCCTTCCCCGACTCCTGGTCCTGAGCCTGACACCCACAGTCTGGAGAGTCCTGTTTAGACAGACAGATAGACAGAGCTCCAGAAAAAGCCTACAGCAGATGGGATCACTGGATATGCTCCCCTAGCCTGTACCCCTCACAGCACCCCACTGAGTCTTCCTCATATCCATCTGGGCTTGAGGGAGGAGTAGAGAGAGCTTGGACGGGCATGCTGTGTGTACTTTTCTATAACAACATAGGAGAAAAGAGGAAGGGCGGTCAGGAACATCTTTTATCCTCTCTGCCTCAGGCTCCACGGGTGACCAGCAGGCTAAACCCCCATCCATAGAGACCAGGAACTTTTCCTGTCAGTGATGATAGCCAGCCACAGTGCTGAAAGAAAGAGGTGGAATGATATTACTGAGAACTTTATCTAAATGTAAAGGGCGGCTCTGTCCAGCTCTTCCCCCAGGAGTTGAAAGAAATCTCACTCCCCTTGTGTTTCCCAAGCCCTATCCATGTTGTCTCCCTCACGTAGGGGTCCAGACTCAAGGTCATGAAAGGTCTACAAAAGTCTACAGGCTCTGTGTTGTCCTCCTGAGGGCTCATGACACCTGTCTCCTCCTGCCCACATGCCTTTCCTTACTTCATGAGCCTGGCATCTCAGAAGGCACCCATAGGTGGCTTCTCCAAGTGCTGTGATCCCAATACACAGTAGCTGCTGCTGCCCTGTGGTGGCCAGACGCAGGCTCTAGGAAGACAGATGTTCTTCTCAGTGGTCCTCCTCTCTCTGGCTTCTTCCATTCTAGTCTCTCCACCTTCTCCTCTGTTCCTTGTCCCTTGGATGCCTGCTATCTGTTTTCCCTCCAAGTCCCTGTCCCTCTCTCAGACTGCATAGGCCTGACCTGTCAGCTTCCACAAGGCTCAAGGGTGCTGCTGACAGTGCACAGCCAGGCGGGAGCCAGGAGGGAAGAACACAAATGTGTTTCTGAGGCTGAAGTGTCTGGGCTGACACCAAGGAGCCTGGGAGAGGCAAGCATGGCGAGGGCAGCCAAAAGCCCTGGGAAAAGCTATGAAGGATGGGAAGCAGGTATCGGTGCTGGGAGATGCCACTCCTATCACATCCAGGAACTTCGTCTTTGCCTTCTCCAGAGCCTTAGCTCCTGAGTCCAGCCTGCCTCTCCTTTCCAGCCACCAGGGTGCTTGCCATTGTCCAAACTCAAATGGCCTGCACTTCCTGGGCTAGTGCTCTTCTCCTGCCTGGATTGTGATTCTCCCCTTCTCTGCCTGGCAAGTGCCTCTGTAGTCCTCTCAGAGAGCTGCTGAAGGTGTCACCACCTCCATAAAGCCTGCTCTTACTTCCCGCCACATCGGGAGCCTTTAGGATCACCCCATAGAAACACTGACAACACAGCACTCTAATAATTTCATATTGCTCCCCCACCCATCCCTGCATGAGCCAGTTGTATCTAATCCACAGTGCCTGGCATTTGGCATCCAGTCAGTGTCCACTCAAGTCTGGATGGGTAGTTGGATTCTTGGACAAACCTGTAAGCAGAGGGATGAGTGGGAAACTTGGTGGTGGCAGCCAGCAGGAGTGGCCATGTCCATCATGTGGGTAAAAAGAGGATGGGGGTGATAGGAGTTCTGGCAGGTATCCCTGCCACCTCCCACATCTTTGTAGAGGCTTTTGTCACAGGGGATCCCTAGTTCTCGGGGTGACCATGTGCTCCTCGCTTCTAGTATTTCTGCCTGTTGCTGGTCATCTTCCTGGTGGAGCTGGTTGCAGGGGTCCTGGCACACGTATACTACCAGAGGGTAAGTACGAGGTCCTGTTGCAGTGCTCTGTCAGTGTCTGAGGGAGGAACAGCTAGATGCTGGGGTTCGTGCTGCCCTCGTGGCTGAGGTAGATTAGTCTAGGTCGGTAGTCCTGTTTCCTGGGCTGGCTATCTTCTTGTTTCCTGTTAGGTAGATCTCTCTGCCTCTGTTGGTACTGCTGGGTTCCATGGGGGAGCCTGAGAGAGTTTCTCAGGGAGGCTAGTTCATCCTTCTTCCCTCCAGGGATCCCTAAACAAGGAACCGGCTTGCTAAGACAGCCACTGGAAAGGGATCAGTAAGGGTCAAATGGCAGACTGACAGATTGTAAAGACCGGAGTAGGCCCACCAGGTTTACTCTCTTCCCATGTTTACGGCTTCAGGTTCAGGATTTGAAGGCAAGAACGGGGTGGCATTGGGCTGGAATAGACAGCATGTCCCAACAAGCAAGCCATTTGAAGCCAGCGTGCACCCAGTTGCCCAGGGTCACAAGTGCCCACATATTGAACCTCATCTTGTAATCAAAGTTTAAATCCACAGCAAGTTGAAGGCAGCTCCCATGTGACCCAGCATGAGCCGTGCCATCCTCAGTCAACCTCGTTCATGTAGGCTCACAGCACTGTCTGAGTCAATACGGTGCCCTGACCACAGCTGGTGAGGGTTAGGTGACACCTGGGTCCTAGAAGAAGGTGTGCATGTGTGTGTGTGGGGGGGGGGTCTTCTGACACTCCTTCATGCTCCCCTCCTCAGCTGAGTGACGAGCTGAGGCAGCACCTGAACAGCACCCTGACTGAGCACTACGGGCAGCCAAGGGCCGCAGAGATCACAGCCTCGGTGGACCGGCTGCAGCAGGATGTAAGCCACACAGAGAGACGCAGGTTTACATCTTGCATCTGTCTGTCTCCCCCAGTCTGCATGACCCTGGGACAATTGACTCACCCTCTCCGAGCTCCTGCTACACATCCCTAATCTACGCCGTATAGTGGAGGGGCCCAGTGATGGTGATCACCTCTAGATGTGTAACCTGACACCACGGAAAGCAGTCAGTGAACCCTGACTCCCCCCATGCCCCCTTTCCACTCTGTCTAAACCCAATCCCTGCTGCCTTCCCATTTGGATCTACTGAGGCAGAAAGCTGCTCTGAGGTCCTCCTGTCCATTTCATCCTTCCTCGGAAAGATGGACACCAAGACACCAAGGTCAAGCCACTGTGGCTCAGAGTAAGAAAGAACTTTCTGGTTGTGAGCCACTGAACAGCACACGAGGGACAAGAAAAGGCCTTGTTTGCAAGAAGACTCAGTAGATCCCAAAGAAAATGACTAGGGGCATGTGTGTACATATAGGTACCCATGGCATTTGTAGTCATGTGCTTAGCCCAGTAGCTGGGATGGGCCAACCCACATAGTCGGTCACCTGTTGCAAGCAGCATGCACCTGCTGGGTCCCACATGTAAGGAGCTGTGTGAGACAAAGGGTACGGCAGGAGCCTTTGCTAGAGGGTCTCCCTCATGGAGCTGTGGACAAGCAGTTTTTCCTGGACACCTCAGATTAGAAAGTAGGGGAGGTGGGGCTGGACGTGGCCTGGAGGAGGGCAGGGCTTGCCTAACTGAGAGGTGGGGAGACACAGGGTAAGATTCAGATTAAAGCCTCCATGGCATCAATATGTGTAACACAGGCCTCTCCCAAGCTGGGGTAGTTAGTGTCCCAAGCAGCATCCAGGTAGGAGGGACTGAGCCTGAGACAGTATATGAACGTGGATGGTGACAGTTGTTCTTCAGCATCTTCTGGCTCTGTGCAAATGCTAAGTGCACTCCAGGCATCCGCTCTGTGCATTCATACACATCCCCAGAGCAGCTCAGGGGCACCAGCTCTCTCTCTCCCCCTCCCCCCCTCTTCCCCGCTCTC